GTTGGCTGATGGGATGGATTGGGTATAAACTTGACATAAGAGGTCATAATGTTTTGTAAGATCTAGCACTGCATATTCATAAACCCACAAGTGAGCCTTTCATAAAATGTGCTGAGGAGCATATACTCTTAGAGCTGGGAGGGACCCAAGAGATAGTCAATTATCTTTGTAGATAGGCAAGACTATTGACTTGTCTAGCTCATACAGTCAGCTGATGCAGAGTACACAGCTGGGATTTCTCATTCCCTGCCAGTCTAGTGTCTAGAAAGACAATCTAAGTCAGAAGAAAAAGCAATAATTATTTAGATTGCTCTCCTGGGTCAAAGACAAGGAAGATCTAGCATCATCTGAATAGCAATTAGTTCTACAAAAAGTCATTCTACATGGAAAAAGAATTAATTACCACATTTGTAATCAATAAAGTGGTTTTAGCAATAGCTTCGGCTCCAAAAAGGTTAAAAAGAAGGTGAGAAAATTGTGGTTGTATTAATATTATTCCCATTGTCCCAGAGGCCCCAGTGGAACAGAGGAAGGATAAACAATAAGCTTTGAACGTGACTCACTCAGATTCTCCAGCAAATGTTTGCAGTCATCAGTGGCAACATCATGCACAGTCCGATTGCACTTGTCTCTCCTTTCTGGCTCAAGCCCTCTGTGCCTACACAGGATTTCTAGGCAGTTCTGTAAAGACAAGATCTGTATTACCTTTAAGTCTGAATGAATTAACTTGAGTGCAAAACCCAAAGGAAAAGCCAGTTGCCTGTAATAAGCCAATGAGGAATTCATAGCTGGAAATCTTATTTCAATTCCAGCAACCCAAATATACACATTAATCTTTGATTAATCTAAGCAATGTCTAGAAATGCAAAGCAAAGAGTGCTTCATTTAAATGCAAATCATAGGATCATAACATCACTTTCTAGAATAGCCTTTTAGGTTTCAAGAAAACAAATGAGCTCACTAATCACTCAGTTCGCAGATTGAAATTAAGAATGAAATTGACTTCATCAGACAGTCTCCTTTTCTGGTAATTTGGCAATATAAATTTTTTGCTACAACAGTATGCACCTCGCTGTCTTCTAGTCCACGAACTGCTCGTTTGGTAATATAAGTGCAGGGCTCCAGTTTTAACAGTTCTTTCCCAGAGTCCTCATAAGCACATTTGTACCTGAGATTTTATGCTGCTCTATTTTTTTTATTTGGAAAATATGAATACAGTGTTGATTGAGTTTTTAGAAAAATATTCCCTATAGGTATTAAAATTATGTTCCTTCTTTTTCAGCTTTTTTTTTTGTGTTGCTTAAAATGTCCGGTCAAAAATATCAGTAACTATGAACTGAAGAGTCTTAGTCCTCCATAATTTTTTGAAAGCAAGATATAAGACAACATATACACATGTTGTCTAATAAATAATTGCACAGCAGGATATATCAGGATATTTACCCAGGAACTCTCCCATATCAACTGCTACCACTTTGTGATTTGTTTACTGATTTCCCGTAAGAATAAGCAGAAAACTGAATAGACCAGAAACCATAAAAAGAAACTCATCACCAAAATAAGCAATGTCCTTCCCATCACCCCCCCTAAATACACACCCTCACCCTTTCAGAGGCATGGGGCTGACTTGCACTTCTATCTACATGGTAAACCAGGTAGTCTGAAAAGTCCTCTCTGATCTTGCTGTAGAATACTTTTTTTTTCTCTTTTGTAAAGTACACTTTTTTCCTTTTCTACTATATTTTTTAAAGAAATACACGCATAGAAAAGTACACAAATAAGTGTACAACGTGAAGCATCATCACAAAGTGAACACACTTGTGGAGGGAGTATTTTGGAGCCCCTTTTATGGTCTATCTTAACCCTAGACCCTCCCTTCTCCCTGCAGACGTAACTACTATTTCTAATATTTTGAACTCTATATAAATGGACTTGCACTGCAAGTACCCTTTTATATTTGGCTTCTTTCATTCAACATAGTCTCTAAGATTCCTCCATGTGTTAGGAGTAATCATAATACATCTTCTTTAAAAAAATTATTACCGTGTGGTATCCTGTTTTATTCCATTGTGGTATACCACAATTTACTTATCCATTTTCTTGCTGATGGACTTTTGTGTTCTCCTATGAACATTCTAGAATGTATCATGTGGTGGATACCTGTTGAGTATGTACCAGAGCTGGACTGCTGGGCACAGGGCCTGCATCTGTCCTATCTGGTACATACTGTAGAGAGCTTTCAAAGTGGCCATACCAATTTCCACTCCCGCAAGGAGTGTATGTGAGTTCTAGTTGCTTCATATTGCCTTCAAAACATACTTTTAAATGCAGTAATGAGTTCACAAGAAAGTGCAGGGCATCCCCAAGGGCCAGAAAGAAAAACAAAGAGTAGGCTGAAATTGCCAATTAAGTGAAATTTGAACAGGAAGTCGGTGCTGGTTTGAGGGCGAAGCTGACTTAGAGAACTTTTTTGGATGCTGAGGGGGTGGGAATCTAGGCCTTGGGAAACAGAAGAGATGAACCAGAGCAACCCTGAGTAAGACAGTCTGTTTGCCTGCAAAGGACACTTGTTTCTCACTTCCTGCCCCTGTTTAGGCTGGAGGGATCTCCTCCAAAACTCGTAATCTAAGTCTGGCAGTTTGTACTCCATATATATGTACAACTATTATGTGTCAATTAAAAACAAAAATAAAACTTAAAAAAAAGTCTAGAACTGTGGCTTTCATGGGTCTAGGATTCAGATTTAAGAAATCACTAAGCTAAGAAATTAACTGGAAACATAATCAAATATATAAATAACAGTTCTTAGCAAGCCATTATTACTAATTTGTACAAAACCAGTAAATGAATAATAAGATAATGTTGATTTAGAAGTTAACTCTAATAAGAGGCTTAAATAGAATGCAATCTGAGAACTAAACTTCGTAAATTCTCAAGATGATAAGAGATAAAAACAACACATTTATTTTGCAAGTTAGTACCTGTAGCAAAAGTGGGTAAAAGCCGAAGCAGACCTGGATTCTAATCTCACCAACAAAAATGATTAATTCTGCAACCGTTGGTAAATCATTTAACATTTTTCTGTCTTAGTTTCCTTATCGGTGTTTCAAATATTTATGTCTCCTAGGACTGTTATGTGACATATGAAAGAGGCATACAAAGCACTTACGTTTTTGGCAAGTACTAAACTCCCAATATATATTAGCAGCTGTTATTATTATAATCAACATCGTTGACACCAATTACAAATCTATCCAGACGTTCAGTTAACTGGTTAGGTATTACAGCACATCAACAAATGTCACTAATCTCAAGATAATTCTAGGTGATGTTAGTTCAAATTACAAACAAAAATGATGAGAGTTGCAACATAAGTTTGCAATCCTTCTGAATTAAGATTCTTTCCTGACCTTCAAAGTGAATTAGTTCTAATTTTTATTACACTCAGGTAGGTCAGTGGACAATAATATAAGCAGTGACTTTCTCTTCCAGGAAGCATGAAACGCCAATCCCCATGAGGGTAATGCATATCCAAACAGTGTACAGGTATAAATTCTACAGCAGGTGCTGGCTCCATGGGAAATGCAGAGAAGATGAAAACTTCAACTCACTGACACCTAACAGCAGCTACAACAACTATCTGAGCACATACTAAGTGCCAGGCACAGTTCCAATACTCCGCAAGTATTCAATGCTCATTTAACCCTTATGAATAAGGCACTAAGCACCTCTGCACCAGGCACTGTGTCAGGGCTCAGCATCCTGACGACGATGAAGGCAGCAGCTCAACATCTTAGGGAGGAATGCAAAGTGCTGCAGAGAGTCAGACATGGGGAAAAGACACAGGAAAGAGGACTGTGGCAGCGATGAGTAAAGTTCTACTTCGCAGAGGAGCAGGAGGAGGGAAAGTTGGAGAAAAGTATCTATGCTCTGTCCTTGCTGGGGGCAACTGTATAAAGAGGACAAAGGCTGCGACACCAGTCACTGCTTCTGGAAATGACTTCCCAGGGGGCCCAAACTGGGCAGGGTGTCCTACCCAAGTGATACAGAGCAAAGCATCTTGAGGAAGGAGTTTAGGCTGAAGTCCTATGAATTAGGGTACAGATACATCTGCTATAACAGAGACTAAAAAGTAGTGGCTCAGGCTTCAGCTTTCACTTCCACTCGCCGGAACTTACGTTCCCGGCCACAGTCATCTGAAATGGGGGATGGAGAATGTGGTCTTTATGTTGGTACTCATGGGCCCAGCTGAAAATGGAGGGGCCTGTAATTATATTAATGGAGGAAGGACAGAAGAGAGGTTAAAGGGTGATAAGAAATCTTTGCCAGGGTCCTTTAAGGAGAGCTGAGAAGCAAAGTACCAGTGCCAGAGAGATTAAGTGAAAACCCCAAGTCCAAAGAGCTAGAGATAAAATCAAAGTCAGGGCTGGGAGCCAAGACTCTAAGATTGGGCAGAGGGAGAGAAAGCAAAAGGGGTTTTCGAATGCACAGTGGAAGCCCAGCTCAAGTGCTGAGAGCAACCTTGGGGTGTGGGTGAACCTGTTGCTTCGCAGGGCAGGGGAGATGGAAGCTGTTAAATGGGAAATAATGGCCTGGGCAGAAAGGCAGACAAGGGTGCACGGTCAAAGATGAAGTCGGCTGGAGTCAGCTGCGAAGGGCTGAGTGCTAAGCAGTTGGGATGCTTTTCTGTAGGCATGGGGATGTGTTTGGGCAGGCAAGTGCCCGATCACCTCTGTTCTGAAAACCAGTTGGTGTATTTGGAAGCTATATTGGAAAGGAAGAGGGTGGCGGGAAGAACAGTTAAGAAAGAGATGTAATCGTCTATTTGCTCATCGATTCAACAAACATTTAGTATTTGGGGGCCACAGATTCTGCTGGGCCTGGTATATACAAAGATGAAAAAGTGGTGTTTTGGAGGAGGTGGAGAGGGAGTGAGGCATGTGCACAATTACCATCAAGCACAAGCTCTCCGCGTGAAGTGTGTACAGGGGCCCTGGAGTGCGTATAGGGGCCCACGTAACTCCTAGGAGCCAAGACTTGGGCTGAGACGTTGTCCAGGCAGAGAAGGGTCAGGACA